GCCTTTTTTAGAGGCAGAAGGCACTGAACAGATTCTCGGGTACAGAAGAGACTCCGAAAGGCACCCAAATACATGTGGGAACTGCGTGTGTGACACAAGCGGCATTTCAGATCGTGGAGAGATGAATTATTCAGTAGGTGCTGCGGAGACAACTGGGGACCATCTGGGGAGAGGGGAGGCTGGATCCCAACCTCCACCCTACCGAAAGGCCAGATGGAGCAGGATGGAATGCTGAAAGCAAGATCCGACGAGCGCCAGCGAGGAGGGGTGAGAAGAAAATCACACTTAGGACATGTAAGGCAACAATTTCAGAGTGGAAGAGGGGGTCACAAAATGGGCAGAGATACCAAGGCAGGAAGCAAAGGAGCAGGGACCAGGCACCGAACCCGCAGACACAGGCAGGCGGCGCACGGGCTCGCAAGAGGCTCCGGCACCTCTGGGGCACAGTGAGGGGGCGGCGTTTGGGGCACAGCAGGTGAAGCTGTTGCTCGGGACGCCACGTCCCACGTTAGAGGGCCAGGGTTCCTATGCCGCCTCTGCCTCCCGCTCAGCCTCCTGGTAATGCACCCTGAGAGGCCGCGGGGCACGTCCCAAGTCCTCGGGCCCCTGCCACTGGCGTGGGAGACCTGGCTGGAGTTCCTGGCTCCTGGCTTTGGTCTGGCCCAGGCCTGGCTGTTGTGGAGTGAACCAGCAAAATGAAGATCTTTGTCTCTCCCTCCCTCTCTGTGTCACTCTGCCTTTCAAATACATTTTTTACACAAGGATTTATTTATTTTTAAGAAGTGGGAGAGCAAGAGAGAGAGAGAAAAAAAAAAAAAAAAAAACTTGCACTCACTGGTTCACTACGCAAATGCCCACAACAGCCAGGGCTGGGCCAGGCCAAAGCCAGGAGCCGGGAGCTCCACCCAGGCCTCTCACATGGGTGGCAGGGGCTGAGCCCGTGAGCCATCACTGCTGTCCAGCAAGGAGCTGGACTGAAGTGGAGCTGGCAGTACTCAATCTGGCGCTCCGACATGGGATGCGTGTGGCAGGTGGTGGTGGCTCAACCCACAATGCCACAGCGCCAGACCCCAGATAAATCTTTTAAAGAAAACACACTAAGATATGATTTCTCACCTGTCCGTGTCAATGTGTGCTGGGGGCGTGAGCGCACAGGAAAGCCCTCATGCCTGGCCGGGAGTGTAAGGCTTTGGCAGCAGCTGTCAAAATGACAAATGCCTGCCTCTGACCCAGAACTTCCAGCCGAGACATTTCTCTCCACGGAGAGCTCGTCACCAAGGCTATTCCTGCAGTGTCACTTGTACTGGGGATGCCTTGGAAGTAATTCAGTGGACACCACTGGCAACTGGTCCACCACGGCTCTGCCATTCGATGGAACACCACACAGCAGTTGCAGAAAGGCACGACGGGGTGGGCATTTGGCCTGGTGGTCCAGGTGCCCATGTCCTACATCCGATTGTATACTTTCAAGTCCCAACTCTGCCCCATTCCAGACTCCAGGTTCCGATCTGGCTCTCTGCTATGGCCTGGGAAAGCAGTGGAATGTGGCCCAAGTCCTTGGGCCCCTGCACCTGCGTGTCTGTTCAAGCAGCAGGGTTGCTACCACCCCCCAGGAGACCTGCATGGAGTCTGGCTTCCACCTGGCCCAGCCCCAGCCACTGCAGACATCTGGGGGTGAATGAGTGCACAGGGAGTTCTGCCTGCCTGCCTCTCAAATTAAAAAAAAAAAAATTTTTTTTTAAAGATATGAGGTCATTTTCTGTAATGGATTAAAAATAATGGCAAGGGGTTGGCACTGTGGCATAGCAGATAAAGCTACTGCCTGCAGAGTTGGCATCCAATACGGGCGCCGGTTCGAGTCCCGGCTGCTCCACTTCCGATCCGGCTCTCTGCTATGGCCTGGGAAAGCAGCTGAAGATGGCCCAAGTCCTGGGACCCCCGCACCCATGTTGTTGACCCAGAAGAAGCTCCTGGCTCCTGGCTTTGGATCAGCACAGCTCTGGCCATTGCGGGCATTTGGGAAGTGAATCAAATGGAAGATCTCTCTCTGCCTCTGCTTCTCTCTGTAACTCTTTCAAACAAATAAATCTTTAAAAATAATGGGAAGACCTCTGAGATCTAAGTGCAGTGAGAACAGTGTGCATTCCATGCTACCATTTATGAGTAAGGGGTCAGAATTCTGTTAGACACCAGTCTCTTTGGACAATGGCATCGGAATCCTTGATGCGGGGCAGAGAATGAGGGAAAGGGATAGGATGTCATGCCCACCCTTTATTGCCTTTTGGACTTTGAACCCTGCGAATGCATTATTTTTCAAAGCAAGAACTACCACCAAAAAACGAGCGCTCTGGAGCCGCTCTGCTCTCGGGCATGACACTTCAGCTGGTCTGCGCCCAGGAGCAGACTTCAGAAGTCCCCAGCTGGGGCAGGTGCCGTGCCACACCTGGCTAAGCCAACGCTTGGGACATCTGCTTCCCTGATCGCAGTGCCCGTTTTGAGTTCTTGCTCCTCCACTTTCTTTTTAAGATTTATTTATTTATTTATTTGAAAGTCAGAGGTACACAGAGAGGAGAGGCAGAGAGACAGAGAGGTCTTCCATCTGCTGGTTCACTCCCCAACTGGCTGCAACGGCCAGAGCTGTGCCGGTCTGAAGCCAGGAGCCCGGAGCTTCTTCCAGATCTCCCACGCAGGTGCAGGGGCCCAAGCACTTGGCCATTTTCTTCTGCTTCCCCAGGCCATAACAGAGAGCCAGATCAGAAGTGGAGCCATGGGGACTTGAACCGGCGCCCATATGAGATGCCAGTACTGCAGGCGGTGGCTTTACCCACTACACCACAGCGCTGGCCCTGCTCCTCCACTTTTGAACCAGTTTCCTGTTAAGGTGCCTGGGAGGCAGATGATAGCTTAGGTATTTGCGTCCTGCCACACGGGAGGTGGGGATGGAGTCCCCGCCTCCTGGCTCCAGCCTGTCCAACCTCAGCTCTTTCGAGCATTTGGGGGAGTGAACCAGCAGATGGAAGACCTCTTTCAAATAAATCTGGTTCATGTCCTGGCTGCTCCATTTCTGATTATCTCCCTGCTAATGCACCTGGGAAAGCAGCAGCAGATGGCCCAAGCGCTTGGGCCCGGCAGCCATGTGGGAGACCAGGATACAGCTCCAGGCCTCTGGCTTCTGCCTGGCCCAGGCCTGGCTGTTACAGCCATTTGGGGAGTGAACCAGCAGAGAGCTCTCTGTCCCTCCCTCCAACTCTGCCTTTCTGAAGTTTCTGTTTTGGTGATAGTGGTTCACCAAGGACCTACAGGGATCCACTTATACACAGGCACAGAATATTCTTGGGAGGATCCCAAAATCTAGCAATAATCGTGGCCTCTTGGGGGGGAAATGGAGGGAGGGAGGGGTGAGGACCCTGTCTCGTGCACAGCGGACCTCACCGCGATCCCATCATTCCACAAATACAAGTTGGTCGCAGGAGACCAACAAAAGTGAATGCGGTCAGGCCACAGGCCTCGGCCGTCCTGCACTGGGGCAACCCTCAGGCCTGGACGCTGGAGAAGCTGCCCAACAAAGCCAGGGCAGCTCCTGAGCTGACAGGAGGGCCAGGGAGTGCCCCACGACAGGAAAGCTGGAGGACCAGAGCTGGGCCCCCAAGGGAGGCCGTGTGCTCACTTCCCTGACCCTTGGACATGGCAAGATCCGGGTATGGTGCCTACTTCCTCATTCCCCTCCCCCTAAGTACATTTATCTGAAAGGCAGACTTACAGAGAAAGGAGACAGGTTTTCCATCTGCTGGTCCACTCCCCAGATGGCCACAATGGCTGGGATTGAGCCAGGCTGGAGCCAGGAGCTTCTCCACACAGGTGCAGAGGCCTCAACAGTTGGGCCACCTTCCACTGCTCTCCCACACCCCCAGCGCTGCCGCCTACCCTTCCCTCAGACAGCTTATCCTGGGCATCCGGCTTGCCCGTATTTCCTCTTCTGGCTGCAGTGGTGGAGGGTGGGGACAAGAAGAGCCAGGCCCCCAGTGACTGAGCTGGCAGCTGCTCCCCGGGTGTGTGGGTGAGGGCAGGCAGGTGGCACAGGCCAGGGTGACAATGCTCACCCTGCCCGTCACATGCCCTGGCAGGGCAGGGGACTCCAGCTGTGATCACAGGACCTTCTGAGAATGGATGTTCAGCCGAGTCAAGACCAGAGCCTTGGTGGGTGTGAGACGCTGGGGTCCCCAGGGCGGCACAGCAACAGCCCAGGGTTAAGAGGTGGCGCAGGTGCCCCTGCACATGGCCTGGCAGGAGAGGCCAGTTGTCTTCTCCCAGCCGCCGGTGGAAGACAGCAGTGTCTCCGGTGAGAAGGGCCAGGGGCTGAGCACAGACACAACTCGGGGGAGCAGCTGGGGCTGGAACGGGCTGAGGGGCATCAGGACCACCCACAGAAGCAGGCTGAAGCCCCCCGAGGCAGGAGGTAGCTGGGCCAGCAGAGTGCTGCCAGGGCTCTGGCTGCCCTGCCCTGGGCCAGACCAGCACCAGGCTGGGGCCACCCCAGCCGATCTCAGTGGCCACTGGCCCAGGTCTCCTGCAGCTGCCCTCTGATCAGAGCACGTCCTGCCATTCCCGTGTGCCTCCCAGATGGCCAGGACTTGGGAAAACCCGAAGGGGACTCCAGTCCTCCTGGCCAGCATCAAGGTCAGTCCCAAGGCCAGCAGAGAGGGAAGCGCTGGCCCAGGGAGAGCCGGAGGCAGGGTGGCGGCTGGCACAGCTCAAGCTCATGACCCTGGAGTCCCTGCAGCCTTTGACCCCTCCCAGAAGAGCCTGACACAGCGGCCAGGGACACACTTGATGTCATCATTTTTATTCACTTTCTCCTTTTGAAAATAAGAGTAAACATATAATATATATTTTTCTATGTAGATATATTAGACAGTTACTGCAGGGCCAAGAACCATTCCCACCTACTCAGAGGCAGCTTCCAACTGTGACGCTGGTGGAGGGGAAAAAAGTGTCCGTGGTTGTCAAAGGCTGAATGGCTCTTTATTATTGAACCGCAGAAGGAGAACCGATGCTGTCACACACAGTGGAGGCGGGAAGGGGGCAGCGGCCACTGAAGAGGACCCCAAGCCCCAACCGGGAGACACTGCCACCGGCTTGCCTCCACCCCGGTCCTCTCTGTTCCAGGTGTCCTGGGCCTGCTGAGGGGACACTAAGGGACATATGATAGGCAGTGACCCGGGCAGGCTGGAGTGGGGCATCGGGCGCAGGGGGTCAGAAGCCTGGGGTGGGGCTCTGGGGCCTCCTGCCTGGTCTTGACGGGTAGGGGCTGGGGTCTGACACACCTGCCAGGCACCAGCAGGGAGGGCGTGTGGGGGAGTGTTGTGGGCCCCAGGCTCCCTGGCTCAGCTCTGCCTGTCAGCACCTCTGGCCCCCGGAACCTGACAGTGCGGCTCTCCTGGGACCCATGGGACCATCCCAACTCCCAGGAAAGGCCGGCAGGGCTCACTCCCACCAGGCGGCAGTGGAGGGGCCTCTCACATCACCCCTGGGGAGACTGGACAGGGCTGTGGGCCAGGAGCCCAAGGATAGGACCCTGTGCTCACCCTTCGGCTCCAGCTCTGTGTCCTTTGGTCCCTGCCTCACCTGACCCCAAAGGTCAGCAGCCACACGAGGGGCGTCGGGCGCACAGGAGTGCACTGACATTTCACCTTGGGGGGGGGGCACTACCCTGTTCCAAGGACCCTTGGTGAGCACTGCAGGCAAGGCCAAGGAGCCCCCTGGGTGGCCAAGAGCTCCGCCTGGCCCCTCCTTCGGGAGGAGGACGAGGAGGAGCTGCCACCCCCAGGGACTCCTCCGTGGAGCTGGGAGGAGGTTGGGCGGGCGCTGCCCGGGCCTCAGTTCTTGAGGATGGTCTCATAGGCCTGGTACACGTGCTGGGACACCTCTGGCGCTCGACACTTCAGGGACAGCTGCAGGAGAGAGGGCAGGGGGTGTGTGCTCATCGTCGGGCCTCTTCTCTGGGGGGGACCGCGAGGCAGGCCGACTGTGGGCACCAGATGGCAGTGAGGGGTGTGCACACGAGGCCTGGTGGCGGCTGAGGCAGATGTGAGGTAAAGCAGAGGGGGCGGCCAGTGTTGCCAGCCAGGCAGGGACCAAATATACTTGCAGCCCACACACCTGCTGTCAGCCTACTGGCAGGCAGCATGACTCACAGGCTGGAGTTGCCAGGGAGTGCCTGGCCCCCCATAGCCCCTGCAGGTCTGGGGTCCTCAGGACAGAAGCCCACCAGGAAATCCGAAGGGGCAGAGGGCCAGGAGTGAGCAGCTCCCTCCCAGGCAGACGGGGAGGGTCCCGGGGGCAGGTCCCAAAATTCCTGCTCAGGAAGTAGGCTCCGCCTGAGGACCGAGTCCTAAGACTGCAGGAAAGAGGGAGAAGCCGCCTACTGCTTCCACTCAAAGTCACTGGCCTGAAGGCAGTGACTGGGAGTGGGGCTCCCCGTCTCCTGGGAAGGGAGGACTCTGGGAATGCGTGGAAGGAGGGGGTGACATGGCTGGACAGCGTGGGGGCAGAGACGGCCTGTCCATGGGTCAGCCAGCTTGGGAGCAGCAGGGTGAGGAGAGGCCAAGAGACGGTGTGGACAGAAGAGCTGGGTGCACAGGGGCCAGGCCAGGACATGGGGCATGTGAGACACGGCTGGGGAGGACAGAGGAGAAAGAGAGAAAAGCAGTCTGCTAACCTCCAAGTCCTGCACCACGGCGCCAGCAGGGAAGGTGGACATGCAGCATCCAGACAGAGGGAAACGCAAATTACCACCACGGAAGCCACCGCCGCAGCCCCCAGCCGCCCACCGTGCCTGCGCTGCCGCGGGGCCCCCAGGACAATCCGTGCCTGCGGAAGCCATCTCCGGCCCGGTCAAAGGCTGGAAGCAGGGGTTGCTGGGAAGGAAGCACTGTCCTGGCTGGGCTCTCAGGCACCCAGAGCAGGGCCGGGGCGGCCAACTGCGCAACCCGACAGGGCCCAGCCCTGCAGAACCGTCTGTCCCGAGACCCACTTGGAGGCTTTTGTGGGTGACCTGGCAGGGCTGAGCTGGAAGCTCCCTAGAAAGGTGCCTTCCTGCTCGCGGCAGGCTCAGGGGGACCCCTGGCGCAGCATCCCCATCAGAGCCGCCCCCGGCTGGGGCGCCTGGTAGGCACGGGGCGCTCACCGTGAGGTTGGGGTTGCCGGGCTGTATGCGCAGCTCGGCCAGCACCCAGATGCCATTGGTCAGCCTCAGGGACTGGTAGAGCATGTCCTGGGCCTCCACGTTCCGCTTGGCGATGGTGAAGACGTTGCTGCTCTGCAGCCTGCTGCTCACGGCCTCTGTGAGGTCGGGAGGACCCGAGAGGACCCAGTCAGAGGGCAGTGGCCCAGGGCCAGCCAAGGCCCAGCCAGGGCTCAAGGTCGGGCTGGGGGGTTCTCACCCGCATTGAGGGGGCAGTCTCTGATCTGGAACTGGGCTTCGTTCTCATTGGGGATATCTTTCCACGTGGCCAGGAACATCTGCCGGTCTGGAAGGTGAGGGGGACCCTCATAAACCCGTGGCCCCTCAACCGCCTGGAACAGGCCATGGGCCTGTGTCCAGTGTGCCGCCTGAAATTCAGGACGGGCACCAGCGCCCGCACAGCCCCAAGCCGAGCACACCCTCAGTTCTGTGAGGAGGCCCGAGAGCTGCTCCCGAGGGACCCTGGGCTTCCTGCCGCCCACCTCCACCCCACCACACGCTGGCCTCCTGCCCGGGCAGGGCAGCCTGTCAGTCACACCTGCCTCATGGGGCTTCCTCCTGGGGCAAGTAAGAGACGATCCTGGCAGCCCAGGGCATGGCTAAGGCCTCTGGGTACAAAAGCAGTGAGTGCCAGTCACGGGACATGGCCTGGGGTCCCTGCCACCCCTGGGACAAGGCTGAGAGCAGGCAGGAGAGCCTGCAAGTGAGATGACCCTGTGTGGCACAGCCCACCTGATGGCCAGGCATGCCCCTTGGGACAGGCTTCGCAAGGACCCAGTCAAGGGGCAGGCGAAACCATCCAGGCCTTGGGCAAGCGCCAGCTGGGCCAGGTTCCTAAGCCCTGGCCCCTGCTTGGGGCCCTCACGACTCACCCATCTTCCCGTCCTCCACAAAGAGGATGTGCAGAGGGTACAAGGTGCTGAAGTAGAAGACGTCTATGTTGTTCTTCACGGCCACCTAGGCAGAGGCGCCCGTCAGCCCCAGGCAGGACGTCCCTCCCGGCACCCATGCCCCTTTGCCACGGCGGGGGGGGGACCCACCTGGAGGTTGTTCAGGGGCTCCATCTTCATGACCGAGCCCACCGTGTTAAGAGGCAGCGAGATCTCCACAGTCTGGTTGGGGCTCAGTGGTGCGTGGACCTGGAGGGGGGCGGCGGGGGCCAGGCCAAAGCTAGGGAGAGAGAAGCCCCCGCAGGCACAGCTGGGCAGCAGGTGCTGACCGGGCACAGGTGGGCTCCTCCCCAAGCTGCCTCAGCCGAGCTGCAGTCCTGGGGCAGGACAGGCTCACGAGCTCCCAGGCCCCTCAGTGGCTGTGGCACAGGAGGAAAGGGCCCCAGGCTGCAGGCTCTGCCCAGCCCAGCCCAGCGCTGGCCGACGCTGGCCTGGGGGGCACTGGGCAGCCTCAGACAAGCAAGGCCCTGCCTGTCCTCCCTCCACAAGCTCTTCCTCCTACCAACAGCCTGTGGCAAAGCTCTGTGGCTGCCCAAGTCTCTGCTGCCCACACCCACTCCCTAGGAAGGATGTGAACCCCATCGGGCACTGGGATTTACTGTCTAGGGCAGCACTGGCCAGGTCACATGATGGCCAGTTTCAGGAAAGCCCTGCTTCTCTACGGCAGCACATAAGCAAATGGGGAGACTCAGATCCTTGTCAGACACAGCATGGACTGGGGGCTCCATCCGCCCAGGCTGGCATTTGACTTGATACCAATTCCCAAGCTCAGGAAACAGAGACAGGCACACATCGCCTCATCTTCCAGGTGAAGATGGTGTACCTCAAGGAGGGCCAGGTCCACGTCTGCTCTACAGGTGAGTGACAGTGCTGAGTCAGAGCTCGAGCTGCCTGCCTGGGACACAGCGGGAGAAGCAGCGGGCGACCCAGGCCCGCGCAGTGGCCCCGCACTACAGGCTTTCCTGGGAGCTCCGCCACTGCCTGCTGCGTGACCTGGGGCAACCTACCTGCCCTGAGCCCAGAGGTAATGGCCCTGACTTGACGGGCTGTCACCTGCTTCAAGTGAGACAATACCCCCAGAGCCCTGGGCACAGTGTTCCAGCCAGCAGGTTTTTCTGAGTGACCAGCCTGGAGCATGTCTGTGGCCGACAGGGTCTGTTGAGCGGAAGGGGAGGAGCTGCCCCAGCCTCCCTGTCTGCCGGAGGGTGGGGGTGTCCCTGGCCACGGCTCCCCGAGGAAGCAGCCCCTTCAGTCAACTTCTTAGAGGCTCAGTTTGCTCATCACTGGAGCCGCTCAGGAAGAGGGATCATCAGGAGGGGCTGCTTGGTCTCCAGAGCCCTGGCCTGACCCACGGTGGTACAGACAGGTAGCCTTCCTGTCACTCGCTGTGCGGGGACCTGGCAGGGCTGACGGCCTGGAGCAGGGCTCACCCCTGAGGCCCTGCCTGCAGGGGCAGGCTCACTGGGGGACAGACCCTCCTGACAGGTGGGGTGTTTGCCAAGGGCCAGCTCCTGGGCTGCCACTGGGGAAACACTCTCCCCACTCTTTCTGGGACTGCAGAGTCCACGAAAGTGGCCATGGAGGGAAGAGAGTTCCGGCCTGTAGGGTGGTGAGCAATGCCACCCGCTCCAGCTCCCCGGGGCCCTCAGCCCCTGCCTGCAGGTGGCTGGCCTCGGGAGCTTACCTGTTGCGGTTGAACTGGATTGCAAAGTCGGTCATGACCTGTAGGGCCTTGTTGGTGAGCTGCAGGTCCATGGAGATGGCGCCCACCTGGCGTGTGAAGGTGCCCGAGATCTCCAGCCCCTTAGCCTTCATGGCCGGGAGCCAGACCTGCAAGAAGGGGGAGGGGGGTGGCTGGCATGTGCCAGGTCCTGGCCCAGACACAAGGGCCCACCCCAGGGTCCCTTTTCTTTCTCTCCTGGAGGGGCCTCCCAGACTGAGCACCCTGCTTTGCTTCCTAGGGGTTGACCACTGACCTCAGGGGAGGAGAATGAGCCCGTGGCCTCGCACTGAGCAGCTCGCGCTGCAAAGGTGCTGGGCGTGCTCAAGGGCTGCTCTGAGAGTCGAGGTCAGAGAGGAAAATGGTCAGAAAAGGATATGGGGGAAGTGGGCTGAGGAGACGACCAGACAGTGTGCCCTGCCAGTCTCCGCACAAGCCAAGGACAGAGCGAAGTGCCCGGCGGCACCCCAGCTGTCACAGCCTGTACTGTGCAGGGGGCAGGGCTGGCCCAGAATCGCAGAAACTGGTCAGAGCAAGGACAGTACCTAGGAGGAGCCCTCGTGTGGCAGGCCCTCTGCTGCTTGGCTGCCCTTGTCACTCGAGTCTCAAGGGCCTCCTCCTCTGGGAAGCCTGTCTCCGGGCACTTCCCCGTGTTCATGCCCCAGTCACGATCCTCTGGGTCAGCACCCTGCACCCAGATGGCCCAGAGGGTAGGCTCTGCCACTGTCCTGACATCCATGGCCTGGAGCCTGGTGGGAGCCAGTGTTTGAGGAGTGTTTGCAGGGCAAACAGCAGAAATTACAGCCCTGCCCACAAAGGGCAGCACTGGGTCACTCTGAACATGCAGATGCCTTGCAGGCCTTGCTCTCCCTTCAATGACTCCCCGCCCCGCAATGTCAAAGGGCTTTGGTCTCTCCTGACAGCTTCCCAAAGTGCACCTGGCGCCAACAACCCACATACAGCAGTCACAGCCCAAGTCCTGTCAACTGTGGCTCCTGTACCTGCCCTGAGGGCCTCAATTCTGCCCTCCTCCATCTGTAGCCTCTCTCCCCTGCCCACAGCAGCCACAGTCAGCTCATAAAATGTGAATGTGACCACGGTGCCTGGAAACCCCTCCCAGCACTGCAATGGCTGCCACAGGCTTGGTCCCTCCATCTCCCCTGAGACCCACTGTCTCCTCTGCTGGGAAAATGCCTCCCACCCCTCCTTACTTGGCTAATCCTGAAAAACCAGTGGGGGTGGGGGTCCCCACTGTCAGTTCCCAGCTGCAGGCTACAACCTTGGCTGCCCCGCCCCGCTCCCCCAGCCCTGCCCCCACCAGGCCTCCTTTTTCCTGCGGCAGACTTGCTCCTGCCTCAGCCACAAGTGCCTGATTCTGTTGGCTGTGGGTGGGAACCTGGAAGCTCCTAGAGTCTAGGACAGGTTCTGTTTGTTGGATGAACCAATGAACTCTCACCGCACAGCCTCGGTGTTGACCTAAATGCCCGAGGAACTCAATGTTCTTGGTCACACAGAGCTGCACCCCTCTTGCCTGGGGCGAGTGGAGAATGAGTTTACCCGAGGAGAGGGACAAACGGCTGACACCTGCGGCTCCTGAGGGTGAGCGCACCCACGTGCTAGAACCTCTGACTGCGGTGGTCAGAAAGGTTCTTCCGTTGTTGCGAGGGCTCCTCTTCCAGGCAGCCCGCACTCATCACTCCTGACTCACAACCCCCCGCCTCACTCCCAGTGCTCACTGCTGCTTCACCCACATGGCTCTCTACTAAGAAAAACTGGAGATGACATCTCTTCAAACCAACACACAAGCTGATGGCCAGCACCCACAGGGCTGCAGGAGTCTCTGCTGTTCTGTCACTCATCCTGGGTTTTTAACAGTCCTGGGTCAGCCTCATGACTTGGTAGCACCAATCCCGTGTAGAAAGACAGACGCACACCTTCTAAATCAGGGTGGGGGACATGTTTTCTGCCAAGGGCCATCTGGATACCTGCAGCATCACTTGGGGCCACAGACGATGATCAACCTAAAAATTAGTCTGCTGTAGATTTATTGAATTTCGAGTCCCACCTGTGGTTGCCTAGGCAAAGCCAGACCAAGTGGTTTCCCAGGCCTCATACAGCCCGCGGGCCGTACACTCCCCACCCCTGCTCAACATCAGTGCTCTCAGATCCTGCTGCCCGACAACGCTGGCATTCGGGTGAGTGCATGGGTGGCTCTCAAACACTTCGGGCACAGACACACAGGGTTCGGAGCAGACACTGTGCCACCACCCTGCACACAGTTCCAGGCTGTCACCAGCAGTTACCCCAGGCAAAAAGCACTCCGGTTTCTCAACCACGAGACGGAGTAGCAGCACTTAAAGCTGCTGGGAGCAGTCAGTGGGACGGAGCGTAGGGCTGGCACAGCAGCCGGCGGCTAGCATTCGAGCTGCTGTCTGCCGTGGCTTCTCAGGACCCAGGTCCCGGCAGGGCGCCACTGCAGGTGGCACCAGCACATCATGGCTGAGGTCAGGGCAGAGCAGGCCAGGTGCTGGCTCACGGCTCTCCAGTCGTGACGTATCTCCTTGTGTCCCTGAAGCTACGCAGTGTTCTTCCCGGGGAGGGGCCCTCAGAAGAGAGAGGGAATCTGGCCAAACCCGCCTCTCTGGCAGATTCCCTGATGCTCATGTGATCCACACTGATGCCAGGCCCACAGGGTCTCGCACTCCAAACTCAACTGCCCTTCCTCAGCCCCGGAACACCCTGTGTCCCATCTCAGCACCTTTTCTCACCTACCGCTCAAACCAGAAAACCAGAAGCCCCCACGCACCGGCCCCCCACCCCCGTCCTGCTGCTCCTCTCTCCCAGGAGTTCAAGCCCAGCCTCCACTCCACCCCCAGAGACCCTCCTTGGTCCCGGCCACCAGCAGCACCCATCCATTCCTCCACGGTCTCCTGCCAGCTCCACACTCGCCCAGAGCCACAGCCAGGTCCAAGTACAAACTGCACTGTTCCAGTGCTCTGCTTACAGTCTCCCAGCAACGCAGGGTCAAGAGCAAATGCGCTAGCCTCGCCCCGGCCACTGTCCCGGCATTCACCTCGCTAACCTGCCGTCTGGCCAGGACTCCCAGGTGTGGTGCTGCCTCTGTAGTACAGTGGGCATGTGTGGGGCATTTTCAGGAGGTGTGATGGGAGGGGCACCAGGTTGTGGGACAGAGAGTCAGGGAGGCTGGGTTTTGTCATGGGCACAATGGCCCTCACAACAAGCACTGTCCTGCACTCTTGGAGCACCTTCCGTGAGGTTTCAAGGCGCCCTGAAATCTTGCAGAGCGTAAGTCCTGGGCAGCCTGCTCTTGGTCTTGCTCAGAACTTCACTGACAGGTCAGTCACCACGTCAAACTACTGGCACTGCGCTCTGCACCGCACCCAGCTGCTGCAGCCCCAGTGCTAACACAGAAATCCGAGCTGGGTTCTCTTCCTTTCATGCTGTCTTGATGGAGAACAGCACAGCATTACTCTGGATTCTGTGTGTGAATGGACCATGCAGCCAGGATGGGGGCTGATGGCACTGGCAACTCGGTCCCTCTCTCAAGGCGGGCTCTCCCTCACCTCCGGGTCTCCCCGCTAAGCTGTGCCCTGGGCCTGGAGCCCTGCCTCCCCAACACCTGACTTAGTTCCTCTTCCCCTGGACTCCCATCACCCACTTCCCGCGTGAGCACTGGTCTGAGCCAAATCCACACACAGATCGCTTAGGGAGCCCCGTGTCTGTGTCCAGAACGTCTCTGTGCTCCCAGGATGAGGAGCTGAGGTTCTTACTGCTTTGGGGGCCACGTAGGATCCTGAGAGGCTGCCCACGCCACTGGTCAGGTCAAAGAGATCACTCAGGCCACTGCCAATGGGAGCTCCGAGACTGGCTGGTGCTGCTGCGGTGGGGGGTGCTGCAAAGTTGGTGCCCCCAATCTGGAAAGGAGGGGTGAAGGGTCAGAGGCAGATACCAGAGGAGTGGCATCAAAGTCCCAGGAGAAGCAGAGCCACTCGGCTCTTGAGAGAACAGTGGGAGTGGGGCTGGGGACAGGACAGCCCTGACATCAACTCCGAGTGGCAAAGAAACAAGATAGGGTAAGGGAGGCGGAGGAGACAGGCTGAGCACCCCATCCCTTGCAAGCCTGGAGCCTTGAGGGTGATCTCTGTGGAAGGGCTGGGGATGCTCCCCGCTAACAGCTCAAGGGTCAAAGGAGGAAACTGAGGGATGTGTGACACACCACTGGGTGGCACTGTGCTGGGCAGATGGGGCTCTGACTCCAGGAGGTCAGAGCAGGGCTGCAGGGACTGGGAGGGCCGGTGGCAACTTGTTATGAGAGGGCACCGAATCTACGGGTATGGGGGCTCCATGGCAGCTGGGTGCCAGATGGTCAAAGCAGAGGCTGCCCAGACGCCAGACCAAAGGCCAGGCGAGTGGCTGCTCCGACATCATCTGCCCCTGGGCCAGCACTCTCAGGAGGAGCAGGGAGAAGACTTGGCGACACGGGGTTGAACCATACCCCTTCAGGCTCATCCCCCATCTCCAAGCAGAAGCAGGCAGGGTGAAGAGAACAGGCAGCGACATGCAGAGAGAAGCCAGGGAAGACGACATAGAGATGAGAGAGAGGGAAAGAGTTAGTTAACCGCAGCTCCACCTGGGATGGGTCTGGTACAAAGCCAGACTCTCTGAAGGCCGCTGCCCCCGGGGCTTCACCCCCCCCATCCTCCATCATACCCCTTCCCTAACAGCACTGGTTGCTGGTCTGCTGCCCATGGGCTGCAGCTTTGGGGACCTGAGCTTATTGTGGCCAACAGAACAAACTGGCTGCCCCCTCCTTGGGCTCAGAAAAGCCCCCGTCTCACCACTCCCTGTCTCTGCTTCTCCTGGGCTTCTCTCAGATGGGCCTGGCTGGGCTGCTGTCACCAGCTGGTACAGCCCAATGGTGAGTGGACACAGGTCTGGATCCTCAAAGACAGAAACATCCCAGCCTTACAGGGCAAAGGCAACTGAGCAGCCAGAATTGAAGGAAGGGGCTAGGAAGGCCCCGTCCCCACCGCTGACCCAGGTCCAATGGGAGGGTTGAATCCTGTCTACACTGTGCAGCTATCTGGGAGGAAGGTTGCCTGATCTCCGAGGCCTCAGCTTTCTCATCCGTAAGCAGGAAGCTAATGATCTCCACGGAGGGCAGGTGGTAAGGACCCTGTAACACCCAAGGCATTTTGTGGGTGCCTGGCCAGAGGGGGTGGTGCTCAAGGACTGCTCCTCTGCAGGTCAGGATCAAACATCTCCCAGAGGGGGCCCAGGACATACCAGGCTGTCGAGGCCACCGCCAAGAAGATCCACGGCTCCCATCTGCACTGAGGAGGTGGCCAGGGGTGGGCCGCTCACCGGGGGGCCGAGGTCCAGGTTGAGGAGGTCACCTAGCAGGTCGCCCTGCGTGGGGATGACATCTGGCTGCTCACCAGGGGGTGCTCCGGCAGGGGCTGTCTCGGGGCTTTCAGTACTCTCACTCCTGCCAGACACGGAAGGGTGAGGGTCAGCTGTCTCAGCTAAGTCAGAGACCCTGCCTCAGGCATCCCCGCCAGAACAGGCATGGGGCTCCCCAACTCCCACAAGCCCATCCCTGTCTTTACAGCCCTTCTGCCTCTGGTTTCTTCCTGCATCTTTCAGGGCCCCCTGGGGATGAGTGAAGGGGGAGGTTCCCTGTGTTCCTGCCCTGGGCCTGTGCAATGCAGAAAACTAGATGTCAGTCCCCAATGCCCATAGGACTGGGCCACCCAGGGCAACAGTGAGAACAGGGCCCTGGGCCACCCACGCAAGCTTCCTACAACCGCTCTTCTCTCCCAGAGCCACTGTAAGGGTCCTAGGAGGCCACCTGTGACATCCTGTGTGTAGGGAGCACTAGGTACAAGGTTGCAAGTCAGTCTCCCTCGACTGCTGCCCACTGCTGCCGATCTCACTCACGAGGCGGTGCGGGGCGGCAGGCTCTTGTGCACCACGCCCCGGCCCCCCTCCACGAAGGCACTGGGCGGCTTGTGGTAGACGGAGGCCAGCGTGCCGATGTAGCAGATGAGTTCGTCCAGCAGCGTGGGCTCGATGAGGTCTGTCTCTTCCGAGATGAGCGGCTTCTCGGCCAACACAACCTCCTTGGCGGCCACGGGGTCCGTGGAAAGCAGGCGCCAGTAGATGTAGCCCCGGTCCCGCAGATCTGGGTTGTCCGAATCCTTGGGGGTTGGGGGGAAGAGAAGCCCATGAACGTGGAGCAGGGCAACGGGGTGAGGGGAGGCGAGAAGACCTCCTGCAGCCCCCTGTCTAGGTGTGACAGTGGGACGCCCGCCCCTCCTGCAGTCTACCTCAGCCTCACCACTGACCCTGCTCCATTCTCATCTGTGACTCTGAGCTCTCAGGGCCGGGGTCCTGGATTACGCTGGCAACAAACCCTCCAAAGACGCCAGGGCAGGGAACGGCTCACAGATCTGGCTCCTGGAACTGCGGACTCTGCTGCAGCGAGAGCTGCACAGCACCCACCTGGGTGGCCAAGCTGAGGACCTGCTGCACGAGCTCCTGCGTCTCTGTTGGCTTCTTCAGAAACAGCTTCACGATGGCTGTCAGCAGCTGCAGCTGCACCTGTGTGTCGGGGGAGGACAGAGGTGAGCAGGAGGCAGACGCGCGGCTTCACGTGCAGAGTGGCCAGGGGAGAGAGGAGCTTCACAGATGCTGCGAGTCAGAAGAGCTTTTCTAGGTTTGGGGTTGGCCCTGGAGCACTGCGGATGCCTGCAGGGTGTGGCTGCGACCAAGCAGCTCAGCCTTGACACCCTCTGCTCGGGAAGAAGCTGAGCACTGCACCTGGCAGACCCAGAAAGGCTGCGAGGTGGTGTGTCGCCCAGGCCACAGAACACCAGGAGAAGCTTGCAACCTCACAGGCTGTGGGCTGGTTTCCTTCTGCCGACAGGCCCGCGGGGCCAGGCCACCATGGGGAGCTGTGCTGGCACCACAGGGTGGAGCTTCTGCTGCCGCCCCAGTCTTTCACCTGGATGTGCCTCTCTCTGCCTCCTCAGCCTGGCTAACACCTCATGCCCTGGCTCTTTTGAGGCCACCCTCAGCACCCACACCCCTCCCCACGACTACCAGCTTCTAGGCAGTCCTATGGCGGTGAATGCCCTTGTGGGCAGGGCTACTGTCTGTCTCACTCACCACTGTGTCCCTAGTTACTTTCCAGTTTAGTGCCTGCTGCATAGTAGGGAATTAAGAAATAGCAGGGCTGGGGCAAGCATTGTGGTATAGTGGGTTAAGCACCATTTGTGATGCTGGCAATCCCACATCAGAGTGCTAGTTCAAGTTCCAGCCGTTCCACTTCTGATTCAGCTCCCTGCGAATGCACCTGGGAAGGCAGTGGAAAATGGCTCAGGTTCTTGGGCCCCTGACACTCGTATGGGAGACCCAGCTGGAGTTCCAGGCTCCTGGCTTCAGCCTGGCTTAGCCCTGGCCGTGGTGGACACTTGGGAGATGAACCAGTAGACAGAACACAGAACATCTCTTTCTCTGTCCCCAACACTCTTTCAAACAAATAAATAAATCTTTTTTTTTTTTTTAAGATTTATTTATTTATTTGAAATAGTTACAGAGAGGCACAGGGAGAGACAGAGACAGAGACAAAGAGAGAGAGAGAGAGAGAGGTCCTCCATCTGCTGGTCCACTCCCCGGATGGCTACAATGGCCAGAGCTGCACTGATCTTAAGTGAGGAGCTTCTTCTGGGCCTCCTATGTAGGTGCAGGGGCCCAAGGACTTGTGCCATCTTCTGCTACTTTCCCAGGCCACAGCAGAGAGCTGGATTGGAAGTAGAGCAGCCAGGACTAGAACCAGTGCCCATATAGGATGCTGGCACTGCAGGCTGTGGCTTCACCTGCTACACCACAGTGCCGGCCTCAATAAATAAATCTTAGAACAAAAATATGGGGGTGGTTTTAGAAGATTTATGGGAAAATGCATATTTAAAAAATTGTACATGGAAATCAAGATTACTTCGCCCCAAAATAAACTTCTATTTTCACTGCGTTTGCCCACATTCTCACAGTACACTCGTGTCTGCTGATGGAGAAAACATCTATGCAAGAACGATTCTCTGCACCTAGTCCCTGCCCAACCGCAGCCTCATCCGTGGAAGAGGACATCTGAGGCTGGGGAACCAGGGCAGCGCCAGGAGCCCGCGGCTGCGCCGAGGACAGGTCTGGAGGGGCGGCGGGAAGCTCAGCAGCAGCAGTGCCCGCCCAGGGAGCGCAGTGAGACAATGGCTCCATACCCCGCCGCACAGCGGAAGTCAGATCGGAGGGGCACAGGCGGTGTCTGGGACTAAAGGGTCCAGAGTCCCCACGACTTGGAGGCATGCGGGCCAATGACAGAGAAGTCCCAGGCTGGCTGTTTCCAAGGCAGGATCTAGCACCAGCCGCCAGCCAGGCAGTCCGCAGCAAGCCATTTACCCTCTGCCTATGAAGGAGAGGCGGGGCGCATGGGTGGGAGCAGCGCACAGGGGTCTTGTGAGCTTTGCAAACGGTGACTTGGGGCAGCTTGCTTGGGACTAGAGTCGGCTCACATCTCCTCTACACTCTGGTCGCACCACCAGGTGACCCTGGACAAGTCACTTAACTTCTCTGAGCTGGTTTCCTCATCTACGAAACAGGTGTCGAACCTTACAGGGTTGACAGGAAGAGTCCTGAGTCAACAGAGAGCAGCTCTTGGGTACTCTGCTCCCCACACAGCAGCTGTCCTTATCCTACTACCCAATGCAGGAGCTCCACCAGCTGGCTGGAAGCCCTCATCACAGCCAGGCTCTGGGCTTTCCACTCAGGCCTGCCTTAGTCTCTGCTGCCACAGGGCGCTCTGGCCAAGAGCCCAGGGCCCTGGCTCAGCTTCCCCCAATACGTGATGCCCCATGAGCCTGCCTATTCCAGGCAGCCCTCCTGCAATAAGGGCGCCACGGCCCCTGGACTCACACAGGATGGGACAGCAGGACCAGGGAGTCGCAGGGGGCTGATGGACCTCCCTGCCATGGCCAAAGAGGCGTAGGAGCCAAGGATGAGGTTCAAAGAGGCAACCCAGCACGAGCTCCCTAACTGCAAAGCACAGACAAGGGCTCTTTAGAAGACCGTCACACTGCTGTAGACCCAGCTGGCACAGGGAGCAGGCAGGCAGTTAGTAACGGACCATCTGCCAAGCACTGGGGTGGGCACGTCACTCACGGCAGCCAGTCACCTTTGCAGGAATCCTGTACCAGGCACAGAGACAGGGTGGCAAGCAAGAGGGGAGGAGCCTGGGTTCAAACTTCAGAGCTCTGCTCCTTCTCAACTGCACCAGGCCCCTGGCTGTTTCCTCTCTGACTTCTCGGACCCTGGCTCTTCAGCGCTCAGCTGAGCGGGGGAGGATGCTCGGGATCTACTCTAACACGGCCCTGCGGGGCAGGAACCCCGGAGTCCCTGAGACCACCGCAGGCCCAGCTCTGCTCCTCAGACACTGGGAGAAGAGGCTACAGCCGCGGGCGAAGGCAACCTGGAGGCGCGCGGCAGCGGCGGAGGGGCAGCGGGAATTACGACTGCGATCTGGGGGTGAACGTCTGCTTCTGCTGACCCCACTCCTATTCTATCTTGAGGTAATAGAAATGCTGGCTTTCCTTCCGCGAATTGTGTTTATCTGTTCCTTTCAGAGACTGAGGTCTGGGATCTGGGCCTCTGACCTGGCTCCTCAGTCAGCGACCGGCTAGGGTAGCACCCACAGGCCCTGGGACTCGTGCTGCCACTGCCCAGAGATAATGCTCTTATGACAGGAGTTATTAAGCTCAAAGGCCTGGAAATACTGACCTGCTGTAGTCTCCATTAAAGGGAGTGTATCGAAGGCAGAAGCCACCTCAGGCCACTGTCAGAGGCCCTCAGCCAGGACAGTGGAAAGGGACACTGGATGTGCCAGCTACAGGAACCATGTGGTCCTGGTTTTGGCCTGGACTAGTTTGCGTCTGAAACCAGTTTTGACCCACACCGATAGTAACATTCACCAGCGATTACAATGGCTAGAAATGTATTAAGGACGTTATGTGGAGCATTCCAGTTAGGATCCTCATTTTACACATGAGCAAAGTGAGGCTGCGAGGGAAAGGGCTAAGCACAGAGTCACTGGGCCAGAGGGGCAGCCCAGAGATGTGGATTCAGACTCCAAGGCCTCTGCTCAGACCCACTGATGACGGCCCCCATGGGGCAGCTAAGATTTCTCTGCTCGGGACAGACTTTTTTTTCTTTTTTTTTTTTGACAGGCAGAGTGGACAGTGAGAGAGACAGAGACAGAGAGAGAAAGGTCTTCCTTTTTTCCATTGGTTCACCCCCCAATGGCCGCTGCGGCCGGTGCACCGCGCTGATCCGAAGCCAGGAGCCAGGTGCTTCTCCTGGTCTCCCATGCGGGTGCAGGGCCCAAGCACTTGGGCCATCCTCCACTGCCTTCCCGGGCCACAGCAGAGAGCTGGCCTGGAAGAGGGGCAACCGGGACAGAATCCGGCGCCCCGACTGGGACAAGAACCTGGTGTGCCAGCGCCGCAGGCGGAGGATTAGCCTATTGAGCCGTGGCGCCGGCCTGTGACAGACTTTCTAAAAGCCTCCGTGCCTGAAGAGACTGCCCAGTTCACAGAAGAGAGGACACAAATGAGATCCTCAACCCCACATGTAACAGAAATGCAGGCAAATTACACCGAGCTACTCCTCGCTCAACAAGTGGTGAAGACGCCGCCAGGAGAGGAAGTAAGGACACGCAACTTCAGCCCGAGATGGGAGGAGAAAGCAGTACCATCTCAACACCCAGGGAACCCAGGCGACAGCTGCAGGGCCTCCAGCACACACAGCCGCCGCTCCAAGCGTTCTGCTTCTAGGCGCCCAGACGTGCATCACGCGGGCTACTGCTCACAGCCATTCTGCTTAAAGGGCTAATATCTGTCAAAGGCCAGTTAAGTATAAATTCATCATGGCAGGGCCCTGGTATATTTTTTAAGGGAACAAAGCAAGGTCCTGAATAATTTAAATATGCTAGTTATGCTGCCAGTAGTGTTTAAAAATAAATGATTAGGAAATATATATATGTGTGTGTGTGTGTGCACGTACACACACACAGTCACTCCTCGGAACAGAGTCTGTAGCTGCGACTGCCTAACTGGCAACATGCACTTTGTAGCCCCCAGATCCATCCTGCCGGCACTTCTGTGGTGGTCTGAAGACACCTGCCGCAGTGGAAGGTCCTAGGCGGAGGCCGAGCCAGGCCACACGCCACCTTCCTGCTTCAGCTCTCTTGCTGCAAACAGGTGTCCTCGGCCCAGCCTGTTTGGTGCCATTCTGAGCTTCTTGTTGGCAACAGCCCCCAAATCCAGGGCCGAGTGCTGTGGGAAGTTCCTAACACGAGAAGCCTACATACACTGAGTGCCCTGTGGAGCAACAGGTGCATCCAATATGCTTCATTCAGGCGGGAGCTGCAGTGCGGTTAGCCCTGAGTCCAGTATTAGTGAATCGATGATATATACTAAATAAGCTGTCTTTAAAGACCAACACACATAAAACAAGGTCATGTACTAGTTGGCAAAAACGTGTCCAGAGACTGAGAACCTGACTCCACAGTTCTCCCATGAGAGAAGGTTCAGTACTTGCCAACTCAGTGTCTGCGGTGATTGTACAAGTGCTGTGACTAATCACAACAGGCTGCACGTGTCTGTGCATCAGCTGCTTTGTATTCTGAAATGATATATGGAAACATCTTCAAGAAATTGGGAGCACTGGTGACCTCTGGGAGAAGAGCTGGTGTAGCCAGGAAAGCAGCGGGCGACTTCTCTAGAAATCAATCCTGAACCAGGTTGATGTACTGTCTGTCCACAGGCAGACATGAAAGTCAAACAAGCAGCAACTTCCGCCTGCCCTTCCCACGTACCAAGACCGTCTCACATGTCCCCAGAGCTACTGCAGTGTGGGGAAAGGGGCCACATTTGGCACCCACACATCCCTGTCTGTCCACACGGGCAACGCTGTGTGAGTGGGGCGGCTGTGAGGGCAGGCCAGGCCACTGCGGGGCGAGCTGGCCTGGCCCGGCAGCCCACCTGGGTGCTCTCGTCATGGAAGCCCTCGAGGAAGCTCTCCAGCAGCTCATCCGCGTTGTCAATCCGCTCGGCGTACTCGCCCACGATCCAGATCATGGCAGCACGGGCCTCAGGCTCATCCAGGGAGTCCAGGTTCTCGCACAGCGTGGCGATCACGCTCTCGTATCTGGGAGACGAGGGCACAGCCAGCATGTGAGCACCCAAGGGGGCCCCACAGGAGCCAGGAAAGACAGGTGGTAGCCCTACAGGACCCTGAGAGGTGGTGAGTAAACGAGGTTTGAGACGTATCTGTTCCATGTTAGCTCTTAGTTTGGCCTAGGGAGCAGAAGAGCCGCTCGGGGGAAGTAAGGAGAACCCAGGGCTTCCTTTGGGGATGCTGCTACGGCAAAGTAAGAAGAGGGGAGAGGCTGCTCCTTCCCCCTCCACCCCAACATCCCATCACCAGGCACAGCCAGGCTACGCCCTCCCTGAGAGGGGTGGGCACGTACTTGTTAGGGTACTTGCGGAAGATGTCCTTAATGACCACGATGGCTTCCTGGACCACGTAGTTGACCTTGGTCTGGATGAGGTCGAGCAGTGTGCTCACACAACGTTCCGCGGATTGCTGTGCAGGAGACGAGTGGAGTGTGGGCAGGTCCCAGTGCCCCACCTCCACAGAGCCTGGGCCAAGGGCTCCAAGCCACTCTTTGCCCACCCTCCTCCTCATGGTGAGAACAGGAGAACGCTCTTCCCAGATAACAGGGGAGGGGAGAACCAGTGCCAGATGATGGTCTTGCAATGGCAGGGACATGGGGAGACAGAATGAGACTAGGAAGCCAGAGGCAGAGATGCTGAGAGTGGGGAGGGCCCAGTCTGATCCCACCTCTCTTCAGATTTTTGTATATTTGAAAGAGTGACAGAGAGAGGGAGAAACAGAGAGAGAGAATCTTCCAACTGCTGGTTCACTCCCCAAATGGCCAAAACAGTCTAGGCTGGGGTAGGTCGAAGCCAGGAGCCTGGAACTCCATTCAGGTCTTCCTTGGGGGTGGCAGGAACCCAAGGATTTGAGCCATCCCCCAATACCTTTCCAGGCACGGTCACAGGGAGCTGGACTGGGAGTGTAGCAGCTGGGACTCAAATAAGGGCTCCGACAGGGGATGCTGGCATCACAGGCAGTGGCTTGACCCACAGCACCGTAACGCCAGCACCTCCACCTCTCATTTCCTAAAAATGGGCTCATGTCCCTGCCCTCATGTGGGAGACTGGATGGAATTCCTAGCTCCTGGCTTCAGTCTGTCCTAGACCCACCTGTTGTGGCCATTTAGGGAGTGAACCAGCAAATAAAGATCTCTTTCTCTCTCTGCCTCCCCTCCCCTACCGCCGTAATTCTGCCTTTCAAATAAACAAAAAAAATAAAAAAAAAAATAAAAAAAAAAAAACAAAAGAAAGAAATGAAAAAGGGCAGTGGGGAGGGCATGCTCATATGACCGAAGGCATTCACAAAGTCCTAGTGGACCAGCCTTTCAGTCCTTGTTCCCCCACACTGCACTGAAGGCCTGGTGGGGAGGCGGGTGCTGTAGCTAGTGGGTTAAGTCACCACCTACAACGCCAGCATTCCATATCAGAGTGCTGGTTTGAGTCTGGCTGTTCCACTTCCTATCAGCTCCCTGTTAATGACCTGGGAAAAGCAGTGGAACTGTTCAGGCCCCTACCACCCAAATGGGAGACCCAGAAGAAGCTCCTGGCTTCTGACTGGCCCAGCTCTGGCCATTGAGGCCATCTGGGGAGTGAGCCAGCAAATGGAAGATTCTGTCTCTCTCGGCCTCTCCCTCTCTGATGTTCAAAATAAATAAATAAATCTTTTAAAAGAAATAATAAAAGCCTTGTAGGGGAGATGTCTCAGAATGGACTATAAGAGTAAGCATCTCAGGGTCTGGGCTGGGAGTGATCGGATGTCCCAGGCACCTCTGGCCACCGGGGGACCCACTGACTCTGATTCAGTAGTCAAGAAACATCTCCATAGGTTAACAAACAAGAAGGAAAGGAAGGACGGCACACAGAGGCTTGTAACGGCCTGGGGAGCTTGGAGAAAGAGGCCCAAGGGCAGCAGAGTCAGGATTCTTGCCAGAGCCTTCAGCAGGCAGAACCCTGCCCCAGAGCTCCATGGAGCAGAAGCTAAGTCCACCATGGCCTCCACTAGCCTGTACCCATCCCACTGTTTTAGCTAAGACTACAGGAGAACCATGATTATGAGTAAATTTAAACTGCAGCAACTCAAAAGCCCCAAGAAGACAGATGAGAAGGAGCCCAACCAGACCTGCACCATGGCCTTCCTAGGGTACAAGCTGGCGGATTCTACTGGAATAAGAGTCGTCTCCTGCTTTCAGCTCATTGCCTCTCCCCAGGATGAGCACAGAGCCCCAGAGCCTCACCTCCACCTTGATGGCGCAGCGGCCGATGGCACGCACAGCCTTCCGTACAAAGTCCACATCCACTTCTGTCGCATATTCTTTCAGCTCTGCCAACACCTGCAGCCCAGAGAAGTCGGGGTTGGGGAACTGGGGCCCAGGTTCTGGCAACGCTCCTGGGCAGTGGGAATGCACAGCCCCCTACAAGGATGGGATTCTGCCTCCTGCTCCAGGAAGGCCCAGGGAGGGAGCGAGCGATCAGGTGTAGGGAAGCAGAGAAGGGACTACCTGGCAGAGCTGGACAATCTGCTTTAGGTCAGCCTCAGCTAACATAAACTACAGCTTCTTGGTGGATGGATGGTGGGTAACAAGAACGTTCTTTTATAACAAAAATTCCAGTTTTTTTTTTTTTTCCTGGCTCATAGGGCCTGTGCCTGGGAGCTACACTGATCAGCTGGCCGAGACCACAGCTTGGTGGCAGTAGAGCCGCCCAACCCCCATACCGCTGACCTGGGCTATGTTGGCCTGGGAGGCCAAGCGGATCATGATGTCCAGCTTCTCCAGCTTCACGTAGATGGGGTCGTTGTACTTGACGAAGAAGACCTTCATCTCGTGCTTCAGGATCTCAGGCCTGGTGGTGGGGCAGGATGCCCCGAGAGCAAACAGCACACCATAAGCTCCCCGGGAAACCCCTCCATGTTTGCTGGGCACTTCTAGGGTCAAGATGGAGCCTGATGTCCGTGAAGGCAGCGTCACTGTCAGGACTACTGGCAAGGGCCCAGTGATCGGCTGCAGCAAACCCTGCCTGGGTGTTGGTTCGAGCCCTGGCTGCTCCACTTCTGATCTAGCTCCCTGCTAATGTACCTGGGAAAGCACTGGAGGATGACCCAAGAGCTTGGACTCCTGCGCCCAGGTGGGAGACCTGGAATAAGCTCCTGGCTTCAGCCTGGCCCAGCTCCGGCCATTGCAGCCATTTGGGGAGTGTAACTCTCCCTTCCAAATAAATCTTAATAAGTTGTTATCATAGAAAAAAAAAATAAAGACTCTGCCTGGGCCGGCGCCGCGGCTCACTAGGCTAATCCTCCGCCTAGCGGCGCCGGCACACCGGGTTCTAGTCCCGGTTGGGGCGCCTGATTCTGTCCCGGTTGCCCCTCTTCCAGGCCAGCCCTCTACTGTGGCCAGGGAGTGCAGTGGAGGATGGCCCAGGTGCTTGGGCCCTGCACCCCATGGGAGACCAGGAAAAGCACCTGGCTCCTGGTTCCTGCCATCAGATCAGCGCGGTGCGCCGGCCGCAGCGCGCCGGCCGCGGCGGCCATTGGAGGGTGAACCAACGGCAAAGGAAGACCTTTCTCTCTGTCTCTCTCTCTCACTGTCCACTCTGCCTGTCAAAAAAAAAAAAAAAAAAAAAAAAAAAAAGACTCTGCCTGGCGACTGCAATCCTGACCTCCTCACCCTGTGGGAGAGGAAGAGAAAGTTCACAGTCAAGGGAGGCAAGCACCAGGCGATAAGCTTGGGAATCAGCCAGATCTCAGTTCCTATCCCAGCTGTGACCTCGGGCCTGTTTCCTTGCCCATAAAATGGGAATGGCACTGTGCAAGAAAGCGTCACCATCACAGGCTTGAGTCTGCTCGCCTTAGAAAGACCTACAGGGCCGTCACTGTGGCGCAGTGGGTTAAGCCACCTCCTGCCACACCAGCACCCCGTATGAGTGTCAGCTGAAATCCCAGCTGTTCTAACACACCTGGGAAGGCAGCAGAAGATGGCCTGGGGATGACACGCATGGAGTTCCAGGCTCCTGGATTTGGCCTGGCCCCACCCCAGCCATCAGGGCCATTTGGGAGTAGACCAGCAGACAGAAGATCAACCTCTCTCTCCCCATCTCTGTAGCTCTTTCAAATAAATAAATAAATTTTTTATTAAAAAAAAAAGAAGGGCCGGCGCCGCGGCTCACTAGGCTAATCCTCCACCTAGCGGTGCCGGCACACCGGGTTCTAGTCCCGGTTGGGGCGCTGGATTCTGTCCCGGTTGCCCCTCTTCCAGGCCAGCTCTCTGCTGTGGCCAGGGAGTGCAGTGGAGGATGGCCCAGGTGCTTGGGCCCTGCACCCCATGGGAGACCAAGATAAGCACCTGGCTCCTGGCTCCTGCCATCGGATCAGCGCGGTGCGCCGGCCGCGGCGGCCAATGGAGGGTGAACCAATGGCAAAGGAAGACCTTTCTCTCTGTCTCTCTCTCTCTCACTGTCCACTCTGCCTGTCAAAAAATAAATAAATAAATAAATAAATAAATAAATAAATAAAGAAGAAAAGCAAAGCCTGGCATAGGGCTGGCGTGGTGGTATAGTGGGCTACTGCCTGCAATGCTGGTATCCCAAATGAGCCCCAGTTCAAGTCCTGGCTGCTGCAGTTCTGACCCAGCTCCCTCTGATGTGCCTGGGAAATCAGCGGAAGATGGCCCAACTGCTTGGGCTCCTGCCACCCATGTGGGAGACCTGGATGGAGTTCCAGGCTCCTGTCTTTGGCCTGGCCAAACTCTGGCCTTTGTGACCATTTGAGGAGTGAACCTGTGGATAGAAGATTCTCTCTGTAACTCTGCCTTTCAAATAACTAAAATAAATCTTAAAATAATACTAAGTTCAGGAAAAAAAAAAAGGGCAGTCCTACATACCTACATATAAGAACCCGGGTTTTGGGAGTGTTCTTACTGTTGCCAGAATGATAACAGTGATCGACTGTGCCTAGACTCCGCACAAACATTACGGTTTACACTGAACACCTACTTGCCTTCTGGGAGTCTGGAATGTGGTGAGTGCCCAGTGAAAACCTTGGGTGCTAGGTCTTAAATGGGCGCCCCTGGGCAGACCCTGTACACTCCGTGGCTGGGGGAGGCTGTGCTCTGTGTGACCCGCCACAGAAGGGAGGGAGCGGAGGAAGTCCCTCCAGACGCTACCTGTGAAGTCTAACAAATCTCAGCCAGGAGTACAACCACAGGCTATCCTGAGTCCTGCTGGTGATCTCTGAACTTGGGGGTGGTCTTTTGGGACCTGCACAGACCCCTTCACAACAGGCTGACTGTGGGAGTTGGAGGGAAAGGGAGCATCCAGCGTGACCGACGCCTGCCTCTGAGAAGGCTCTTGCTGGGCAGGCACTGTCACCAGCAGGCACTTCCACGTGTTATCACCGCTCCTGCCTCGGACGCAGCGCCCTCTGCCCTCCACTGGCACCACCAAGCTCTATGTTCTTAACAGAGAGGTTGAGAGGCTTGGCCTGGGTCACATGTCTGATGTTATTAAGTGCAGTTTAAGACAAGAGTCGCTATGCGATTCCTACTCCTCTGCCCCTTTCTCCAGAAAAAGGAACAGGAATGGAGACAGTTAAGAAGGCAGGAGACGGGGTGGAGAGAGACACAGAAGGAAGCTGGCACTCACTGCTGCTGTGTACACACCGTGGGGAGGTCCTGGCCAAACAAGGAGTCTCTGTTGTGCCCCTGGGAGAGGCAAGACCCCAGGGTGGATAGCAACGAGGACTTGGCAAGAGCTGCCCGACTCAACATCAGGCCCAAGGTAATGCCTTGGCAACAAAGACAACCTCTTAAAGAGATTTGCTGTGTTAAATATAGCACAGGAGCCTTTCGGGCTGATCTGGATCTACCAGTCATTACACCTTAAGTCTAGTGGCCCAAGGGCACTGGTGTGTAAAGGCCCCACTGCAACTGTGAACAGTGGTCACCCCTGCATTGGGGCGGTCAGAAAGTTCTCCCATGCTTATCTCCCAAATCTTCAAGGATGTCCCAGGTCAACAGCCATCTCTGGGCCCCCCGAGAGTGCTAAGAACCAGCTGCCAGCTGCCAAGGGACAGTGACGAGACACGGCCCTTATTCTCCGTGTACGCCACTCCCAACCATGGGGCTGCTTGACAGACAAATGCAGATGCCAAGTCCTGAATGCTGAGCCTTTCAACCAGAGGGCTGGGAGAACTCGGGAGGCCAATCCCACTCCCCAGAGCGGGAGGGCCCCCTCAGCAGGAGCTGCCTCAAAGGAAGGGGGGGCCTGTCCCAGAGAAGCCTGGGGGATGCTGTTCCATGTAAGCCAGCCCCTGCCCAACCCAGGTCTTTTTTTGGGAGTTGTTCTCATGGCAAGGAGGGACGTGGGCTGCAGGGCACTCTGAGTGGCCCTGCTATACCCTCTCCCAGGCTCTGAGCTGACACAAAGTTCTCATGATCTCGGAGTCCTCCTGCAACCTCAGGGGCTTAGACTAGTGCCACGGGCTCTGTCCCCAGGACATACAAGGCACGCGCACACACATGCGTACAGGCACACATATCTGATATCCCACTTCAGGAGGACCCCACGGACTTGGAGCCATGCAGTGTCGGGTAAGAAGCCTCACGTTAGCCTTTCCCTAGCCTGCTCCCTGGTGAAGTTCAGCCAGGCCTTCTCAAGCCCAGGCCCACTGACATTTTGAGCTGCACAATTCCCTGTTCTGGGCAGCTGTCCTGTGCACTGTGCTCTGCCTCTACCCACTGGATGCCAGCAGCCTGCCAGTAGTTCTAACAACCAAACATATCCCCAGACGTTGCCAAAGGTGCCCTGGTGGAGCGCTCTAGGGTGAAGCTACTCTTGGAGACTCCCTGTATGGTAAAAGGTCAGCTTCCCTTGACAGTTCCCAGGAGAAGAGGCACCCCCAGAGTGTGCGCTGCATGGCGGGGGGCCCTGGGGTGCATCTCAATACCTTTTCTGCACAATAAGGTTGATGTTGCGCAGGGCCACGTACTGCAGCTCGGGCTCGGCTGAGAGCAGCGTGACCAGGGGCGGGGCCAGCTTCTTGAGCAGTGTGCCGTAGTAGTCCAGGTCCTTGGACAGCATCTCCATGAATTTCATCAACACCTTCACAGCGGACAGCACCACAGCAGAGTTGGCGTGGGAGAGCCTGGGTGTGACCCGCTCACAGATGCTGGGGTCCATCCAATCCAACAGGGCAAAGCAGAGAGACAGACAAGGGGAAACAATCTGCTTTTAGTCATCAATACCGCAGGTCTTCAGTGGGAGGAAGCTCTCGACCGTGGTTCTGCTGCCTGCTCTCTGACCCCGGGCAGGTTCAAAGCACTGAGCCTCGGTTTCCTGATCTCTAAACCTGAGAGGAGCATGCCTCTGCACAAGTTCTGGGGGCACAGAAGGAAGAGCACAGTGCTGGTGGCCAGAAAGTAAACACTCACACCTGTCGGCTCCCTCCCTTCCCTGGCTGCCAGGGCATTCAGAAGGGACAGGAGGGATGGGGACTTGGCCTTGCAGTTACTTAAACGGTTGGTGGGGACACCCAAATCCCCTATCAGAATTCCTGGATTCCAGGAATTCCACTCTCAATTCCAACTTCTTGTTAATGTCCACCCTGGCACTAGGTGATGGCTGAAGTGACTGGGTCCCTGCCACCCACACAGGAGATCTGGATTTAGTTCCTGGTTCCCAGCTTCTGCCTGGACGAGGCTCAGACATCGTAGGCATCTGGAGAGTGGACCAGTGGAAAGAAGCACTCTGCATCTCTGTCTCTCAAATACATACATACATACATACATACATACATATATAAGGGTCAGGATAGCAAACTGATTAAGATCAAGAGTCGGGGGCCGGCACTGTGGCATAGCAGATAAAGCCGCCACCTGCAGTGCTGGCAGCCCATATGGGTATTCGTTCAAGTCCCAGCTGCTCCACTTCTGATCCAGCTCCCTGATAATGCGCCTGGGAAAACAGCAGAAGATGACCCAAGTGCTTGGGCTCCTGCACCCATGTGGGAGACCCAAAAGAAACTCCTTGGCTTCGGATCAGCCCAGCTCCAGCCATTGCGGCCATCTGGGGAGTGAACCAGGGGGATGGAAGATCTCTCTCTCTCTCTCTGCCTTTGCTTATCTGTAACCTTGCCTTTAAAATAAATAAATATGGCCGGCGCCGCGGCTCAATAGGCTAATCCTCCGCCTGCGGCGCCGGCACACTGGGTTCTAGTCCCGGTTGCCCCTCTTCCAGCCCAGCTCTCTGCTATGGCCTGGGAAGGCAGTGGAGGATGGCCCAAGTGCTTGGGCCCTGCACCCGCATGGGAGACCAGGAGAAGCACCTGGCTCCCGGTTTCGGATCAGCGCAGTGCGCCAGCCACAGCGGCCATTGGAGGGTGAACCAACGGTACAGGAAGACCTTTCTCTCTGTCTCTCTCTCTCTAACTTTGCCAATTAAATAAAAGATAATAAATAAATAAATCTTAAAAAAAAAATCAAGAACAGGTGTGTCCCACCTGGGACACAATTCCCACCACCTCTCTAAACTGGAATTTGCTCATCTGCAAAATGGGGGCAATAATGGGACCTCCTTTGGAGAGCTGCATTAAAGATGATCTAACATAGGGAAGGCACCAGCTGAGCCCGGGCACTGGTCAGAATGCAACAGGCAAGGGTCTGGTGCTGTCAACTCCCTGACTTGGCCGATGTGGCCGGGGTCCCCATTAGATCCCAGGTCAGCAGTGGGCTGACTGCCTGAAGCCACACTGGTGACTCTGGACAGATGGGAGAAGGACTGTCCTCCGCTGAGGGCTCTCTGAGGATGGTTTGTGGGGCAAGGCCCTGAGAGGGACCCCACTCAAGCCTGCGGCGCAGCTCCTGGTTGGAGCTCCCTGAGGACCAGGGGCTGCTGGGCTGGCCAGCAAGGGGCGGCCGGCTCACCTCTGGGCCTCGCGGTCGTCCTTGGGCGTATAGTTGGCCAGGCAGTCCAGGATGAAGATCTGGCCCCACTCGGTGCACTCGTTCAGGGCTGTCAGCAGCTTGTTAATGGACTGCGGGTTCAGGTCGAGCAGGTCGCTGCTGGGGTGGGACTCAGCGATCTCTGAGAGGGCAGCCACGGCATTGGCCACCACCTGGTCGAGAGTGTGGAAGGGGCAGAGGCTAGGGGCACTGCTGCCAGGCCAGGGGACAGCTGGGCCAGTGACATTCTAAAAGGACTATGACCTGATGGGCAGGATCTGGAGCCTCAAGAAAACCCACTCCCAGCAGTGGCCCCACTGACTGCTCTGCAGGTGGACTAAAATCATTCAGGAAAAGTGCTCTAGCCGTAAGTGCCTGGCAACACAGCACATTCCCAGCTACCTGACCTAACAGCCCCTCTCTACCAACTGCAGCAGCTGCAGGGCCAGAGGAGCCCTGCACAGCCCCTCCACGCCGCAGGCAGTGGATGGGGGCTGAGGCACGCAGGGCCTTGCCAGGTGCAGCTCTGCACCCTCAGCTCCCTCCCAGGAGCGCGGCTGCTTGGTGCGTTCTGCACTGGCTGCAATGCTTCCCTAGGCCACACAACACTCCATGGCCTGTCCCTGAACAGGCTGCCCAGTGCCAGTGGGTGACCAGTGTTCCTGTGGGGCACACGGCGGGGATGTCGGGGTCCAGGGGCCTGTGCATTTCGTCTTAAGCGGACGATCCTAAACTGCTCTCCAGACGGCTGCCACCGGGGAGAGGTCGCAGGCGCCCACTCAGCCAGTCCTGGCCTCCAGACTGCGCTACTCAAGGGTGACTCTCCAGGCCTGCAAGCACGCAGAGCAAGGGAGAAGCACCTCATATTCAGAGCATCAGCTGGTCCTGACTAGAAGATGGTGACCGGGACAGCGACTGGAAGGGAAGGGAGGGCACCGGCACTGGTGTGGACCCAGTGTGGACCCAGCCAGGCACGTTACCTTCCCAGCACTCACGCCAGCCTCAGGGAATGGGCCCACTTCACTGGTGAAGAGGAAAGTGGCACAGCTTGGTTAGAGAGTACAGGGAAGAGAAGCCAGGTCAGTGCCTGAACCACAAGGCACAAAGATGACCAGCCGACCCAGCAAGGCTCTGGACTTCTAGGAATGGGGGCCTTGCAGGGGTCAAGCCGAGGGTGTGGCAGGCAACAGGAGGTAGAGGAGGTGGGGCATTGAGTGGCCAGGACTTACCATGGGGTTAGAGTCAGAGATGAGGTCTTTAAGGGTGTCCAAGAAGCCCTGGTCCTCCACCAGCTGGGCGTTGATGTCGTGGAGCTTGGCCACGCACACGGCCGCTGTTTTGCGCACATAGGGATCTTCGTCCTTCAGGCACTTGCGGAGAGGCTCACACAGATACTCCGTGATCTTGTCGACGCGGATGCAGCCCATGGTCCGCACGGCCAGGGCACGGATGAGGGGGTTGGGGTCCTCACAGTCCTGAGGGGGAACCAGCCAGTGGCCAGGGTGGGATGAGCCGCATGTGCCTTCATGATCTCCCTGGCCTGCAGCTCTGGACCCTGCTGGGCTGAGCGGCTTCAGATGGCTGCTATGGGGTCACCGCTGACTGCAGCCAACAGCACCAGAAGTCAATGCTAGGTGGCCGGCACCGAGCATTCGTCAGAGCTGTGTGAGGGGCTCTGCACACGGTCCCCTCTGACCCTCACCATGGATGTACAGCACTGGCCTGGCTTTACGGGTGTGGGGGCTGAGGCTCCTGGGAAGGCTGGGAGCTCACCCAACGTCACAGGGCAGAGCTGCGATCCAGAGTCACACCCATGTCCATGGGCACCCCAACCTTGCCACTGCATCACAGAAACTCTCGTTTCCCTGATTCTGAGGCTCAACAGAGCTAGGAAAGTTGGGTTCTTTTAATTAAGAGCTTTAAAAAATTATTTTTACAAATCTGTAGTTAACATGTAATATTGTACATTTTCACGTACTGTACAAATTTCACATACGTACATACAGCCCCTCCATTTCCTAATTCCTTCTGAGTGCTCGGAGGGAGTCTGGCTTCTTAAGGTGTATGGAACTGACAATTCAAGTCCCCACTTGCTCCTCAATCTGGAGAGCAGAAAGGACCAGTCTAGAAAGGGAACCCAGCGGCCGGCACTGTGGCACAGCGGGTAAAGCTGCCACCTGCACTGTCGGCATCCCATATGGGCGCGGGTTCTAGTCCCAGCTGCTCCACTTCTGATCCGGCTCTCTGCTAAGGCCTGGTAAAACAGTAGAAGATGGCCCAAGTCCTTGGGCCCTGCACCCGCGTGGGAGACCCGGAAGAAGCTCCTGGCTCCTGGCTTCAGATCAGCACAGCTCTGGCTGTTGCAGCCGGTTGGGGAGTGAGCCAGCAGATGGAAGATTTCTCTGTCTCTCCTTCTCTCTTTGGTAACTCTTTCAAATAAATAAATCTTAAAAAAAAAAAATAAATAAAGGGAGCACAGATGCTCTCAGACATTGCTGCATCCTGCCCTGGCAAAGGAACCTGAGGCCTGGAACCACCAGACATGCAATGAGTGAGGCAAAGCCTTTGGCATCTCGTGCTATGGGGAGGGGAGCCCTCTGCTGGAGGAAGAGGCCCTCAGCCCAGGTGGGTGGGGGTAGCCTGGGGGCTGGGAAGGAGCCAACCCAAAGCAATGCGGGGAGATGGAGCGGAAAGCGCTCCGGCTCACCTTCACAAAGGTGTTGACGGCCATGATGGCCATGTCTGGCTGACTCTTGGCGTAGTTCATCAAGTACAGGTACACCAGCTTCTTCAACTCCAGGTTGTCCGTCTGCATGCAGTTCACCACGTCGGGGAAGAGAGCACTGGAAGGTGGAGAGGGTGTCAGCAGGGGGATGGCTGAAGAAAGGACATGGAAGATGTCTAGGCAGTTAATGGGGAGCAGGGACAGCGGGGAGGGGCAAGGAGACAGACAAACACCTGCTATGAGACACAGAATCCCAAAGGGTGATATTAAAGGCAAAAACATTTTCTGTGTTCCTTTACCAGGGCTCAAACATGCGCTCTGGAGCCCGTCAAACTCTGCCTCTTGGTAGCTGTGGGTCACTGGGAAACTACTCTATCCCGGAAACCTCAGCTTTCTCATTTGCAAGAAGCTGCGGTGGGAACTCAGTTCCCAGGGCCCTGTGTGGGCCAATGAGACGACACTGCAGGGCCTGGTCCTTGATGTCTGGGATGTGCTGAGTCAATGACAATGATCCCTTTCCCCTTCCTGATACTAATGTGGCCCTCATACAAGGCTTCTGGTTCCAGGGGTCTAGGGAAGCAGGGGCGGGCCAGGCTGCTCTCACCACAGGGCTTGTTCTGAAACCCACTAAGAGCCAGCACCTGAGGCATACAGCGTCTGCTATACACCAGACTTGGTGCTAAGAGCTTTCTGTGTCTGATCTCACTCAGCAGCCCCGAGAAGCTCAGGGATTACCCCGACTCACGGAAGACAGCTCTGAGGTTCACATGTCAAATAACCGGCCTGAGGAACCAGCTCTGACTCCCAAGTCTGCGCTCATGGTCCTGCTTTACTGGTTCCCAACTAGGCACCCAGGGGGTCCAGAGTCACAGGTCCCTGTAATGTGGGAACCATGCGTCGCCTTCCCTTTCAACTCTCACGCTTTTACCAGCAAGGGCACGGCAACACGAGACTGAAGAGGTCAAGATGCGAAGTTCTGCCAGAGCGGAGGTGCATGCACCCCCTTGAAGATGACACACGGGAGAGCAAGGGGGCGGGGAGGAGGAAGAACTGCTGATGAGCCCGTCCCATCAGCAGGACAAGCTGCCTCTGAGAGGGATGCACAGCGAGGCTTCCTCTGGGAGGGGAGACAGCCGTGTGCTCACTGAAGGAAAGCAGCTCTGCCCTGGAAGGAACCGGACTCGGAAGGAGGCCTAGTTTTCTGGCAGACACTTGGCCCCTTTGCCACTCTGTTCCTCCAGGTCACTGGCAGGAGGCTTTCCTGAGGGTGGCAATGGGCTAAGGCAACGGGGGTAAGTCTGGGGCAGTGCTGTCCTGTTACAGGACCTGGATGGGGAAGCTGCTCCACATCAGCTCACAGGCCTCCACTCAGAGCTGGGCACCGTGAGGGCACCGAGGAGAGGCCATGGGCAAAAGGAGTCTGGGTTTGATTTCAGAAGGGCTGGGGTTGAGTCCTAGTTCTGCCATTAACTACGTGACTGTCCCCGAGCCACCGTGCTCCGGCATCCTGTTTCTCTGGCATTAGCTGCAATGGGCACTGTAAGGAACTACTGGGAGGACATGGCTGAGCACGGTCTGCAAACTCTCAGATGCTGTGCAAACATCAAGCTGTTGTAAACCCGCCCCTGCCTCTGCGGACTTGACAATCTGATAGGCAGGTCAGCACAAGCACACACACAGGAGACGTGACCAGATTTTGTGCTGAGTGACGGCAGCAGACAGCAAGTTCTGTGGGTTCAGGGCAGTGGGCTGGGGTGAGGAAGGAAGGCAACAGGGAGGAGGCCGACCTTGGGTGGGTTTTACAGGATGGGAAAACAAGCTGGGCACACGGGCATTCCCGGGGGGAGGGAACAGTTAAGGTGTGGCAGCTGTGTTCCACGTGCCTGAACCCCAGGCTGCAACTGGTGGCAGATCAGAGAGCTCCAACCTGCAGGTGTGACTGACTTGGGCCACACAGAAATTGGTCTGATAGCACCTGGCAACTTAAAGCAGGGAGATTTAAAACAAAAAATCTGATGTTCCTTTCTTTTAGGAAAACCAAAGACAGAACAGATGACCTGGCCACACAGGGGCCATTTTCCCGGAGCTGACAGCAGTTTTCTCCGGGAGCCTCTGACACCTGTTCCATCTACTTCACACCATTCACCCCATTGCACCTGACCATGACCGTTGGAGCTCCTGACTTCTGCGTGGACTTCTGTTTGGAAAGAAGGGCCATGGAGGAAGCTGTGTGAGGGAGTCTCAGGCCGCCACATGTCCTAAAGAGAGTGCTGAACCAGACCAGGTTAGAGCCCTCCCCTGTCGCCAGCTTCTAGCTCCCCGGTGGACTCCTGCACACCTGACGTCCTTGCCCACGGTCATGGACGCGATCACTTTCTTCACCGCCTCCTTCTTCTTCTCCTTCTTGTCACTGTTGAGCTCCGCCTTCAGCTCGAAGATCTCCCCTAGGAAAAGGAGGCAGCCATGAGCCACCCCTGCACACCCTGCCAGGGCTGACTCCCCTCCCCAGCTTCCTAAGGCCCTGCAAGGAAACGAGTGTGGCACTCTGAGCGCTGCCTCTGAGGGAAGCTACAGGCCCTGGCCTCAGGTGTGGCAGGTGGCAGTGAGGGACACTGGAAGGAGAATTGTCACAGAGCAGGTTTGGAGCTCGCGCTGAAGAGGCAGGCACTGAGGGGGCGACAAAGGCTCGGGAGGAGACAAAAAGCAGGGAGGCCAGTGCTGCTCAGGCAGAAGGCCATGCTCTCACAGCTGCCCTCGTTCAGCAAGGGGCCTACAGGGCTGAGAGCGACAGATCCGGGCACTCAGGGTTTGCAGGGAGGGGGCGGAATTTGATGGACCCCACACGTAAGCTTTTCCTGCCTTTCTAGAACCTCTGGTCAAAACCGCTTGCTCAGGGTTTCACTTCCTGAGCCGCAAGTGGTTGCTCTGCTCACAAAAATAGGAATTAGCTGCCTCCCAAGGGTCCCAGTGTATAATAAATTGCTCTTCAGAACTTGATGACCTGGGAAAAGCAAATGAGGAAGTTGGGTTTGTTCAGGGCCTTGCCGCAGAGCTGGCCAGCGTCTGATAACAGGTGAGGAGGGCAGACCTGACTTCCAAGCCTTTCTCCGAGGCTGGCACCACACTACCTTCTCCCACACTTTTTCTCATGTCATCCTCACAGCTCTGCATCCCCCCAGCCTCCACACTGTACAGGCGAGCAAACGGAGGCTATAGGACGTCCGACAGCTTACACACATATGTCTGCGGACCCAGAGCCCACGCCTTTCACCCCTGGGCTGGGCATACCCAGGACCCTCACTTGGCCTCTCTGCCTCCTGCCTTGCCCGCTCTCTCTCTCCCTTGGCTGGGGTGATGAATCCTCTTTTTACATCTGGATGGAGAAATGCTCACCTCTGCCTGGCACTCAGCGGTCTGCATTAAGGGTGACCACTGCTATTACTAATCAGCCACGTGACCCTGCCTTTGGATCCCTCTTGTAGAATGGGAGTCCTGGGTTTCCCTCTCAAGTTACTTCGGAGTGGAGGATGTGAGGAAAGTGCTGAGCAAGTTCTACATGGATCTACAGTGAGAAAAAGGCAAACTCTGGTTTCTTTTCACAGCGTTCTTTCTTTTAGCAAAGAACTCCAGCAGACAGACAGCACCCACGGCCAAGGAAGAACAGTCACCCAGCACAGTCTGGGGCCAGGCCACACCAAGGGCATTGCTCAAGGGAGCCAGGAAGAATCTGCAGATCTTGCAGTTCAAGCTCACTCAGAGAACACAAGCCCTTCTGCTGCCAAGAGGGTGAGGGGCTTGTGTCTGCTCGCTCTGGGATCCAACAGCCCATAAAGACCTTGACCCTGGACCCCTCTGCAGGGCTGCCCCTGCTTTGCTCAAGCGCCTGGTCAGGCCCAGTGTAACTGTCACTGTCAACTAATGGCTCAAGGCCCGAGTCCCCTCAGCCCCAAGGCAGCTGGGAGGCTGAACCTGGAATCTGACTGCTCCCGAAAGACCCCCAGATCCAGTCAGTTCTCAAGCCCACCCCATCAATTATACATGAGACAGCCAATTTCTCTCGATCTCTGGCTCCAGGCTCAAGCACTATCACCTCTCATGGTCTCCTCACCTCCCTTCCCTGAAATCCTTTATTAGAATCTGCCTCGAACGTTCCCTTGTAAAAACCATCACTGATTCGACTCAAGACTGGAACCCATGCTGGCGCCGCGGCTCAATAGGCTAATCCTCTGCCTTGCGGCGCGGGCACACCGGGTTCTATCCCGGTTGCCTCTCTTCCAGGCCAGCTCTCTGCTGTGGCCCGGGAAGGCAGTGGAGGATGGCCCAAGTGCTTGGGGCCTGCACCCCATGGGAGACCAGGAGAAGCCCCTGGCTCCTGGCTTCGGATCAGCACGGTGTGCCGGCCGCAGCGGCCATTGGAGGGTGAACCAATGGTAAAGGAAGACCTTTCTCTCTGTCTCTCTCTCACTGTCCACTCTGCCTGTCCAAAAAAAAAAAAAAAAAAAAAAAAAAAGACTGGCACCCAGGCACCTCTATCCAGATAATCTTCCTAAGAGAAAATCCACAAGGGCTGGCACTATGGCCTAGTGCTGCTTGCAGTGCCTGCATCCCATATGGTCTCCATTGTGAGTCCCAGCTGCTCCTCTTTCCATCCAGCTCTCTGCTATGGCCTGGGAAAGCAGCAGAAGATGGCCCAAGTCCTTGGGCACCTGCACCTGCATGGGAGACCCGGAAGCTCCTGGCTCCTGATCAGCGCAGCTCCGGCTACTGCGGCCATTTGGGAAGTAAACCAGCGGTTGGAAGACCCCTCTCTCTGCCTGTGACTCTCTGTAACTCTTTCAAATAAATAAATAAATCTTTTAAAAAAAGAAAATTCACAAAAATCTCCCACTCCTGGTGGCAGGCACTGTGAAGTCTCAGGTAAAGCCGCTGCATGCAACACCGGCATCCTACATGAGCACCGGTTCCTGTCCCGGCTGCCCCACTTCCTAACCAGCTCCCTGTTAATGGCCTGGGAGAAGCAGCAGAAGATGGCCCAAGTGCTTCAGCCCCTGCCACCCAGATGGAGCTCCTGGCTCCTGGCTTTGGCCTGGCCCGGCACTGGCTGTTACGGCCCTCTGGGGAATGAACCAGAAGGTAGAAGATCTGTCTCTCCCTCTCCCTCTGTAACTCTCAAAATAAATAAATAAACCTTAAAAAGAAAAAAACAAAAACAGCAGCTCCCACTACTGACACTTCAACACGCAGTGCTGAGTTCACACGGCAGCCTGACTCACCAGGCCCTCACCACTGAGCGTGCAAACCTCTTCTTTCACCCTGCTCCTCAGTAACCCACGCCCAGCAGCCTTGCTTCCCTGAACACGTATCCTGGGTAGAGCGCCTGTTCCCTCCAGCACCGCGCTCCCATAGCCCCTGGACCCCTGCCCTCTGGTGTGGCTACGACTTAATAGACTGTCTTTCCTGTTCAATTTCCAGGCAAGCCAGGTCCAATAACTACCCTCCTCCTCTCCTACACCCGGTAAATGCCTGATGGGGGCAGACTTGTCATCTGGACAGCTGGCGTGTGTCACTCTCACCCGGCAGGGCCGGTCAGAAAGCTGCTTACAGGGTTAAAGCGCATTTGCGGACAAGGACAACAGCCTCCATTTCCTTAGAAATAGGAAGGACCAGAATATCCAGCGACAGAAGCTTACTTAGCAAATTTCAGTGCAGGACTCAACAGACCGAGCACCAAGTCACTGAAACTGCCGGGAAATGTTGACAGCGTCAAGTGAAAAACAGGATGAGAACTGCGTGCACCACATGATAAGTAAGGCCAGACACACCTTCCACAGTGGGGTTACTGATAGGATTTTCTCCCAGGAGATACACATCCTATTTCACTATTAAAGTAGTTTGAACTAGGTTCACTAATAAAACAAGCCATGGGGAACCAAAAAAAAAAAAAAAAAAAAGAGGGCTTTTCCCCATACTTGGAGCTATTGCTCTGGCTGGGTCCTGAAAGCCATGGTTGATTTCGTTTTTTTTTTTTTTTTTTTTTCTTTTTTTTTGACAGGCAGGGTGTACAGTGAGAGAGAGAGAGAGAGAGAGAGAAAGGTCTTCCTTGGCCATTGGTTCACCCTTCAATGGTCGCTGCGGCCGGCGCAATGTGCTGATTTGAAGCCAGGATCCAGGTGCTTCTCCTGGTCTCCCATGGGGTGCAGGGCCCAAGCACTTGGGCCATCCTCCACTGCACTTCCTGGCCACAGCAGAGAGCTGGCCTGGAAGAGGGGCAAGCGGGACAGAATCCGGTGCCTCGACCGAGACTAGAACCCAGTGTGCCGGCGCCGCAGGCAGAGGATTAGCCTAGTGAGCTGCGGCGCCGGCCATGGTTGAGCTTGCCAGATCTACGAGTCAAAGAAGCTCTTGGTTGTTTCCCATCGTGGGCGTCAGACCACAATGGTCCTGCTGCCCACCCCACTGAAAGCAAGCAGAGGGTCAGGCAAGGAAAGAGCAAATCAAGCATCATAAGGAAACAGAAAGAGTACCTTTCTTGGTCGTGGTGAAATACTTTGAGTCAGTCATGTTGGTCCCTTATCTGCGGCCAGACTCTGCAAGACAAAGAAAGGGAAGCTTTCAGCTGGGTTCCATTCCATTTCCAGCTGGGAGGGAGAGCAGGAGGAGGAGGGGATCCAGCACACATGTGGATGGAAGGCACTGCTGAAGTCTTTACCAAGCCAGCGGATGTCAGATCTTGGTTAATGAGTCTGGAAAGGTGATTCTGAGGGATTCATGACATTTGGTCATTTGTGAGTGTGCACATCTTTTTTCTTTCTTTTTTGAAAGGCAGAGTTAGAGAGAGAGGTCTTCCATGTGGGTGCAGGGGCCCAAGTGCTTGGGCCATCTTCTTCTGCTTTCCCAGGCCATAGCAGAGAGCTGGATCAAAAGTGGAACAGCCAGGACTTGAACCAATGCCCATATGGGATGCCAGCACTGCAGATGGCAGCCTTACCCGCTATGCCACAGTGCCGGCCCCCACGTGCATATCTTTTGACTCAGCAATTCTCCTCATGCTTCTAGGAATCTCTCCCACAGAAATACATGCACAAATACAAAAAGGTTTATTGAGATACTACCCTTAATTACACCCCACTGGGAAGAACTTAAATGTCTATCAATAGGGAATAATAAACACTCTGGAGGAGTCCATGAGTCAGAAAGCCCCTAACATGGGCAGCTGTTTAACCTAGAGTTGAAAACACATGCATCCCACAGGAGTACCTGGCCTTGATTCCTGGCTCTTGCTCCTGACTTCAGCTTCCTGCTAATGCACACCCTAGGACTGGTAATGGCTCAAGTAATTAAGTTCCTGCTACCCACATGGGAGATCTGGATTGAGCTCCTAATTTTGGCCCTGGCCCATCGTCAATTGTTCTGGGGCATTTTTGGGGTGAACCAGCAGATGAGAGCTCTCTTTGTCTCTGCCTCTCAAATTAAAAAAAAAAAAAAAAAAAGTCCAGGGGCCAGCACTGTGGCGGAGGAGGTTAAGCTGCCACCTGCAAAGCTGGCATCCCTTATGAGCACCGGTTCTAGTCCTGGCTGCTCCACTTCCGATCCAGCTCCCTGCTAATGCACCTGGGAAAGCAGAGAAGCTGGCCCAAGTGCTTGGGCCCCTGTATCCAAGTGGAAGAACCAGATGAAGCTGCTGATTCCTGGCTTTAGCCTGACCCAGTCCTGACTACTGCAGAGAAAGATCTTTCTTTCTCTCTGTCTCCTCTCTAAATCTGCCTTTCAAATAAATAAATACGTCTTAAAAAAAAAAAAATGTTCATTGGATCCGGCGCTGTGGCGTAGCAGGTAAAGCAGCCGCCTGCAGAGCCGGCATCCCATATAGGCGCCAATTCGAGTCCCGGCTGCTCCATTTCCGATCCAGCTCTCTGCTGCGGCCTGGGAAAGCAGTAGAAGATGGCCCAAGTCCTTGTGCCCCTGCACCCACGTGGGAGACCTGGAGGAAGCTCCTGGCTCCCGGCTTCACATTGGCGTAGCTCTGGCTGTTGTAGCCAATTAGGGAGTGAACCAGCAGATGGAAGACCTCTCTCTCTGTGCCTTTGCCTCTGCCTCTCCTTCTCTGTGTAACTTTGACTTTCAAATAAATAAATATTAAAAAAAAAAAAAGTTCATCAACTCAGATCAATAAATTAAAACCCATAGCAATCACAGTTACAACAGCCCCATCATGGCGTTCATTCCGTCTTGCACGGTTTTAAATGTTTCACACATGCTAACTAGATAAATTTATAAGACCCAATACAATGTAAACAGTTGTTATACTGTACTGCTTACAGAAAAAGAAAATAAAGTCTGGTTATATTCAGTACTGATGAATTTTTTTCTGAACATTTTTAATCAGCAGCTGGATGCATCCACCAATGCCCCCACCATGGATACAGAAGGCCAACTATACAGTCAAATGAGACTGGAAAATGCCAACTTCAAAAAGCAAAGGAGGGGGCCGGCGCCGCGGCTCACTAGGCTAATCCTCCGCCTTGCGGTTGGGGCGCCGGATTCTGTCCCGGTTGCCCCTCTTCCAGGCCAGCTCTCTGCTGTGGCCAGGGAGTGCAGTGGAGGATGGCCCAGGTGCTTGGGCCCTGCACCCCATGGGAGACCAGGAGAAGCACCTGGCTCCTCCCATCGGATCAGCGTGGTGCGCCAGTTGCAGCGCGCCGGCCGCGGCAGCCATTGGAGGGTGAACCAAGGGCAAAGGAAGACCTTTCTCTCTGTCTCTCTCTGTCCACTCTGCCTGTTAAAAAAAAAAAAAAAAAAAAGGCGCAAAGGAGGGGCCAGTACAAGGGGTTAAAGTCCTGGCGTGCAGCGCCAGTATCCCATATGGGCTCCGGTTTGAGTCCCAGTTGCTCACTTTTGATCCAACTCCTTGCTAACGTGCCTCAGAAAGCAGTGGAGGATGGTCCAAGTCCTTGGGCCCCTGCACTCATGTGGGAGACCCAAAAGCAGCTCTTAGCTCCTGGCTTCAGATGGGCTCAGTTCTGGCCATTGTGGCCATTTAGGGAGTGAACCAGTAGATGGAAGACCCCCCGCTCCCAGTAACTGTCTTTCAAATAAATAAAAAGCAAAGGAGGCTTTCATTCTCCACAACTGTTCCTGAGCATCGCTTCTAACACAGTGGTGTGCACTGCTTGTCTCCGGCACCTACACGCTGCACTCTACAGCACCCTCCAAACTTACGTGGCCAGCTGTTCTCAGAGCATCTCCCAGTGCAAAATGCAGTGTTAAGTACTAAGGTAAACAGGACAAAGAAAGTACCAAGGCCCTCTTATTCACTCACCAAGTATCTACTGAGCATCTACTATGTCCTCAATAGCCCCTCTTGGTCAACAGATGAAAAAGTAGCTACAAGGAGCCCAGTCACTCTGGGCACACGTGGCAACGGTTTCTGGCACTGTTCCTGTTAAAGCCAGGGGCTTGACGTGGGCATGGCGATTCAGAGGGCTAAGTTGCTGTCTGGGACACCAACATCCCATATCAAAGTGCCTGGTTCAAGTCCTGCTTACTCTACACTTCTTCTTGTTTTATTTATTTATTTTTTTAGATTTATTTATTTTCTTATTTGAAAGGCAGAGTTACAGAGAGAGAGAGAGGGAGAGACAGAGAAAGAAAATCTTCCATCTGCTGGTTCACTCCTCAAATGGACACAACAGTCAGGCTGGGCCGATCTGAAGCCAGGAGCTTCTTCTGGGTCTCCCACGTGGGTGCAGGGGCCCAAGGACTTGCACCATCTTTTTATGGCAGGACAGCAGTGGGAACAGCCCCTAACTGAGATTTGTTTCAGCCATCAGTGATAAACAAGTATGCACTATCTTGGGTGGCCTTACATCCTTGGTGGATCCTATTAGAATAAAGGGATAAAAGCTTCACTGACAAACACTGTAAAAACTAGTCTACAAAAAAAAAAAAAAAAAATTTCTACTTTCCTTTCGCTTCACAAAGTTGAAAAGAGATGGCAGTCCTGTTCTATGGAAGCCGCAGGCAAGAGCAGAGGAGCCCCCCGTGGCTGATGAGCGAGGTTCTGCAGCAGGGCCTCTTACTCGCCACCCTCCAGTCCGAGTCAGGGCGGTGGACACAGCCCTGGCCTCCCTCCCGCTTCACGCCTGGCCCGGGCTCTGCATCGAGCAAGTGTTCATTTGGCAGTTGTTGAAAGAAATGAAAAGGGGCCACTGAAATCCCACTGGGCTCAGCCAGCTCTTTCACAGCTCTGTTATATAATGAGGGAGCACTTGTTCCCAGCAGAAATATAGCTGATTTTAAAAAGTTGTTTTGTTTTGTTTTGTTTTTTTGGCACACGCACAGATCTATTTTCTCAGAGAAACCTCACCATCTTGGAGGTTCTCTCCAGCATTCTGAGAATGAACAGGTAGGAGGAGAGGGTTTGTACAAAATAGCAAAGGGCTGCGTGGCTTCAAAGTCAGACAAGGGGAAAAGTGTCCAGAATGGGAAAGCACCCCGTCTCCTGGAGTTACATCTGAGAGGGATAACTGAAGGCAAAGGGGGCTCAGCTCACAGCCCACAAAGAACCATGGAAGGAAACACAAACCTCTCTTCCCCACTTAAATACAGAAGGAAACAGAAGTGAGCAAACGGAGCAGTCATGGAACAGGGGCTGTGGTGGTGCCCGGGGACCTGGCCATGACTGCTGGACTGACGAGAAACTGCTCAAGCTCCTGGGGTGGCAAAGCAGACTTCCATAAACATTTAACAGAAGGGGAGGAGAAGAGCTACGGTGGCTGTGAAGGGCCTGATGCCAGCTACGTCAAACTGGTATCATCAGATGGCCTTGAATTTACTGTAGAAACAGAGCATGAGCTAATATCAGGCACTATTAAAGCCAGTTTTTGTGGCCTGGGTGGGTTTGCTGAGAACAAAACCAACAAGGTCAGTTTTATAGACTCTTCCAACCATACTATCAAAAGCATGCATTTGATTTACCTACAACCAGCTCCACCAACATTCCTGAACTCCCTGCTACAACAAACTACACCAGAACTGCTGAGAGCTGAAAACTTTCTAGATTATTAAATAAACCACAAACACACACACATCAACCTGCCGTAGACAATCGAACGTCAGAGCGGCGCAGAATTTCTTCTCCAGCAGAAGAGGCCGGCAGGGGTGTTCCCCTCCTATGCAGGCACACGACAGCTGGGGGCCCGAAATTCCTAGGACATAACACGCGGGCGACAGATCTGTGTCCTATGAAACTGGCCGGGAGGAGGAAGAGGGCGACAGCCTCTCCTTTTGGGATTACAGGCAGGACAGAGACGCAGGGGCAGAGCGCGGAACGGCCACGGCTACCGGCCCTGACGCTGCTCCACCTGAGCTTTTGAGGACACTCTCTTTTACGGTGCTAACTGCTCCCACACACGCTGCTGGTGGCGGCTGCTGCTTTCTCCCACGGCATCTCTCTGAGCCTCCGCAGAGGGCCCTGGGGGACTCCGAGGCAGAAATCGCTGGCTCTGAAGTTGTTTCACACACAGGAAACTAAAGCAGAGGAGGAAGGGGATGGAGAGAGAAGTGAAAATGCTCCTGGAAAGCCACC